GACTAAGCAGCTCTGCAGGCTTTTATACTTGACTCCCGGTTGCAGCATGCCCAGCAGAGCCTCAGGGGCGTGGCTTCTTCTGCCAGCAGGGAAGGATTTACCCTCTCAGTCCCAGTGTGGGGCCAGTCCGCACCGTCACAGGGCCCCACTCAACAAATAATAAAAAGTGAATAGGGGGCCCTCTTGAGCTGCATGGGCCCTAAGCAATTGCTTAATCTGCTTATGCCTAGCACCAGCTCTGGCCCCAGATCACAATGTACCTGTTATGTGCACATTCCACTGAGGTCTCCAAAACAGCAGCAGGAAGACTTCATTGAACAAACTGGCTGCCACCCTACGGACTTAGAAGCATAGCAAAAATGTTTTTAAATTTTTAATGAGCACATGTGCTGCTAAACTGAGTTACAGTGACTCATCTAACATTTTGATGTAGATTTACCAATGGTTATTTTCTCTGGAGTTGACTTAGGTATAAAAATGGTATAAGGGAATGAGACAATATTTACTTGATATCAAGATAGTTTAATATGTAGTGATTCACTGGGTTTAATTTAATTGGCATTGTGGATACTAACTACATTTCTCAGTATTTCAGAGAATGGTCTACTGATTTCAATAATACAGGAAATATGATAGCATTGATGGAAGAATCCCATGCACTGCTACAGACTAGGGACCGAATGGCTAGGCAGCAGTTCTGCAGAAAAGGACGTAGGGGTTACAGTGGACGAGAAGCTGGATATGAGTCAACAGTGTGCCCTTGTTGCCAAGAAGGCTAACGGCATTTTGGGCTGTATAAGTAGGGGCATTGCCAGCAGATCGAGGGACGTGATCATTCCCCTCTATTCGACATTGGTGAGGCCTCATATGGAGTACTGTGTCCAGTTTTGGGCCCCACACTACAAGAAGAATGTGGAAAAATTGGAAAGAGTCCAGCAGAGGGCAACAAAAATGATTAGGAGGCTGGAGCACATGACTTATGAGGAGAGGCTGAGGGAACTGAGATCATTTAGTTTGCAGAAGAGAAGAACGAGGAGGGATTTGATAGCTGCTTTCAACTACCTGAAAGGGGGTTCCAAAGAAGATGGATCTAGACTGTTCTCAGTGGTACCAGATGACAGAACAAGGACTAATGGTCTCAAGTTGCAGTGGGGGAGGTTTAGGTTGGATATTGGGAAAACTTTTTCACTAGGAGGGTGGTGAAGCACTGGAATGGGTTAGCTAAGGAGGTGGTGGAATTTCCTTCCTTAGAGGTTTTTAAGGTCAGGCTTGACAAAGCCCTGGCTGGGATGATTTAGTTGGGGATTGGTCTTGCTTTGAGCAGGGGGTTGGACTAGATGACCTCCTGAAGTCCCTTCCAACCCTGATAGTCTATGATTCTATGATAACAACTGTGATGAATATACGAATAGTTTCAATCTTCAGGCAATTCTTACAGGTATAGTTCCTGTAGGATAGTGGGGAAACTGTCTAATTGGGTGTTTGATTTGCAGGTATAGACTGACACATGTTTCTTAGGAAAATTAATCCCTGGTTTTAGTTGGATGAATTATTTAAAAAAGAACAGGAGTACTTGTGGCACCTTAGAGACTAACAAATTTATTTGAGCATAAGCTTTCGTGGGCTACAGCCTACTTCATCGCGCTCAAATAAATTTGTTAGTCTCTAAGGTGCCACAAATACTCCTGTTCTTTTTTTTGCAGATACAGACTAACACGGCTGCTACTCTGAAACCTGAATTATTTAATTATATCTTCAGAAACCTTCTTCTCTAGGAGCTAAATTCACCTTGGGAGTTCTATTCAGTTACACCATTAACACTGACGACCTCTTTGTACCAGGAGTAAAATTAGCCTGTGGTGTTCGTTTTGTTAATCCAATTCTTTGAAGTCTGTGCCTTCAAATCTCTGAATATTAACACATTTCCACATGGTGGTACTGGTAGGCAGTAACTATTCATTCCGTGCTGTCCATATAACTTGTCAAAATTTTAGGAATTGTGTGTTCATTAGGTTACATTCAACTATCTCAGAGAATTTGGAGGAAATGTTGGCTAGAAGGAGCCATGGCAGTCTTATTTTTAGCATATTGTGCTAAAAGTCCAGCTACCCAGTGATCCAGTTTACCCAGCAGTATTTAAAATCTAGGCAGAATGTCCCTATACTCATTCATACAGAGCGAAATCTTTTAATGGTGAAGTGATAAAGAAAACTGTTGGTTTTAATTCTATTAAATATAAAATCACCTTAATAAAATATTCAATAAAGGGAAACAAAAAAATGATAGTTTGAAATGCAACTTTAATTTTAAAAAAATCAATATGCCATGTACAATGTTTTGTTACAAGATTATCAGCTTGATTTGTTTTGTACTTATACTGACAGAACAAAATGATATTTTGAATTAAGCATAATATTGATTCAAAGTTATTTATAAATGATCAAAATGATAGCTGAATATTACTAATGTCAATAATTAGTTAGAACTGTTGGTCAGCAAAGACAAATACAGTTAAAACAGATATATGGAAACTGGTACTGCAATTAAGTATTATGTCATGTCAAGTAGGCTTAACTAAAAGAAACACTTGAAAGCATACTTTTTTTTCCAAATGTTTGTCAGCTTTGTACACTTAATGTTGCATAATCTAGAAATGTGCAAAAAACAGCAGCTTGGCACTACAATTAATGGAATACATTATCAAATTCCTCACTAGAGAAGGGCAATAGAAATGGCAGCTAGAGAATCATCCACAATCATTACAGGGTTTTTACATGGATATCGAGTAACAATCAGTTTCCTCTCATGTTCTCTTTCCTGGATGAACCACACAGGCATTGTAGGATATTTATTTACAAGCACCAAGAATTTTCTGCTGTGCATTTCTTTGTCCATAACTACTAATTTTTGTTTCTCCTTATTGTTAGAGACCCAGATCCAACTCCCATTTTGTCAAAGATTTCCATTGACTTCAATGGGAGTTTGACTGAGCCTATAACTACTGTATGTCAAGTGCTCATCACATATAGTAGTGCTGTCAGCAGAAATCCAGTTTGTTACCACCTGTCTGAGAAAACAGAACTCGTGTACCTGTTGTAAATAAACAAATTTAAAAATGTTATTAAAACTAATGTTAAAAAATTATATAATACATAGGTTGGGAAAAGAGTGTCTGTACATCTGGGTATAGTGCTTAGATTATCCACAAATATAAAGTTTGTTTTTAAAGTCATAGAGTACATAATCAGCAACAACCCAAATTTAGGTGAACAGATTTAACAATACAGTTTAGATATTAGAATCCAAATACTCGGGTACATCACTCATGAAAAGATGTACAGAGATTTGGTTGTGGAAAGCAAAATATATCAATGAGTGGAGATTGTCACTCAGTAATTGAGAATTATGTTGGTTGTCCATTTAGAAAATACAATCCATGGGGAAAGTATTTGTTACTTTCCTGACTGCACTTCTCATAGGCGCTCTAGTTCATCCCTCCTGGTATTGCTGATGTCCAGTGATGTGTTCTATGTAGATGTCCCTCGACCACCTGATGGTGTGCAACACCATGAGTTGTCACATCAGCCAAGCGTAGCGTTGACCGATTCCGCAGTCTCTCAGCACTCACTCATTACTGGGGTCCCACGCACCTAAGGCTCTGACAATCAGTGCATTTGTCTGGACCTGGTAACCCTTAGCTCTCAAGGTTTCAGCCAGAGGGGCATATTTCTCTACCTTTCAAGCTCAGGCATCGTGGAAGGCTGGGGTCCTGTTCTCGAACGGCACTGTGACTTCCACCATGATGATCTTTTTCCGGTCTTCGTTGGTGATGATGATGTCCAGTCGCAGTTGGCTGTCGGTTCCAGGGATGGCGGAGTTTACAGTAACTTTCCGCATGGGTGGCGGGATGGCTCTGGCCAGGTGATCTTGGATGGCGTTGTGTCGCAGCTGAATTACACTAAGAAAATACCCTACTCTGCATCAGTGATTTCTGCTCCAAATGTAAAACTGACCTGCAAGATCTCAAAATTCTGCTTCCACTTGGCAAAGGAGCAACAGTAATTGCTCTTTGGTAATGTTAGTAAATGTTGACATTTTAAGTGACCAATGTAGTTGAATCTAGTTTAAGTGCCCATAGCATTAGCTGGAGCCGAGCAAAAGGCAGACATGCTTCCCCACACAATTCTGTCAACATAATCAGTGATGACTTGTGCTTCCAGTCCTGAGCTATGTTGAGTAGACACTGATCATCATGTACGATTATACCAGTGGTCCTAGTGTGTATTCCCGTCTGCCCCAAGCACCAAGTCAAACCACATATGAACGCAGGTAACTTCAGTGGACATTTTTAAACAATTAAGCCTTAAAAAATCAGAACTTTGATCATAAAATAAAGCCAGACAAAAAAAATTCTGGTTAAAAAATACAAAATTCGTAGAGGATATAAATCCCTAAAGCCTGGTATATAAATATAACCATCAATTTTCCTCTGTAGCAAATTCCTTTATAGATGGCAATGTAAGGACAATTCTAACTTTCCCTGTACGTTTGCATTCCCCTCTGCCTTACAGTTCAAGGCAGTGATGCCGTACAGGCTCTAGTTTCAAACCAACATCTGGAACTTGAGTCTTGAAAGACACCCAAAATAACAAAAAACAACAAGTAGTGATTAGCCACCTTTATAACTCATAAGGCCAGATTCTCAACTCATGTAAATTGGCAAAGCTACCTTGAACTTAATGGAGCTATGCTGATTTATGTCAGCTGAGGGTCAGGCCCTGTTCACTCTCCGAGGCACTGAAATAAATTGGCCTCACCTTGGCATGGGAATTTCAATCAAGATTGCCTGAGATTTTGCATTCAACAATCTTAGAGGAAACAGTGAGAGCAACATTTACAACCCCTGAAGGGAGAGAATTAGCAGTTTTATTCCTGAGGAAATGCTCTCACTCTACATTATGTGGAAACTCTTATTGGGAAATAAGCGTATGCTTGTGCTGTTCAAAAACATGGAGATTTACAAACTGCATATTTACAAACTGCACTCAAATATGCAATTGATCCTGCTGCACACTACCCAGGTCCTGGTTTGTGCCATTTTGGATGTTTTTATTGTTAAATATCGATATGGCCAAAAGATAATTTTTTTAGAATAGCGATATAAGTTCTCATCATGGAGCATGAGACCATTCACAAGTAATAGATACTTTGCAGAGACATATATTACAGTCTGTACACTAAGGACTCAGTCCTGCAAACCTCTAACTGTACAATCAGTGCTTACTCACACCAGTAATCCCATACTGGGCTGCTCATTTGAATTAAGGCTAATTAAATGACTAACAATTTGCAGTATCAGACCCAGAAGCATTACAAAAATTGTGAAAAGTGGATTTTCAACTACTGTATTTATTATACATTAGATCATTGCACTTTTTCTTACAATAAAAAATATTTACTATGGAAATTAATACCCACTAACATTTTCCTTCATTGTTTTCATATTTAAAGAACACGTAACCATGTATTACAGTGCCTCGTCTCCTTTTACTGCATTAGGCAGTTGCTAGCCTTATCTGGGTCTTCTCCATCAAGCCTGATCCACTTCTTTTCAATTTCAACCTGTGGTTAGAAAATATACAAGAACAACATTAGCAAATGATTAGGTATCATAAGTCTGATCGTGCACTACTGAAGTCAATGGGATTTTTGACATGGACTTCAGTGGGTACAGAATCAAGCCCTACAGGTGGAGGCCTGAAATACAGGACTTGAGATCCAATGAATTTCAAATTACCACATTCAAAATTGGTTTGGTGGGGAAAAGGGAAGTTGGTTTAGCAGGTCTGGTTTGGGCCCCATCTCTAAGAATCATGTGTTCAGATCAAGGATATTCTTTTATTAAATAATTACTGTGTTCAAAGCCATTAAGCCAATAAATAAATGCATGCAAGATCATATGCTTAAAATGCAAGTCACACACACTTAGGGCCTTACCAAATTCACCATCAGTTTTGGTCAATTTCATGGCCAAAGGGTTTTAAAATGGGTCAGTTTCATATTTTTAGATGTTTACATCTAAAATTTCAGTTTTTTAATTGTGAGGGTCCCAAACTAAAATGGAGACATGGAGCGGGTCGCAAAGCTGTTGTAGGCTGGGCACGGGATTGACACCCTCACTTCTGTGCTGCCTTCAGAGCTGGGAAGCTGCAGAGCTTCCTGCAGCTGGGGGAGATAACCAGAGGTGGGCCTGATCTCCCCCAAAGAGTGGCCGTGCAGGGGAAGAGGAAGTCCTGTCTTTCCCCAGCCCGACAGACTGGCAGCTGGAGCCCGGGGAATGGTGGGAGCCCCTGGCAGGGGTGCCCACCCTGTCCTTCCCCTCCAAAAACTACATTTCATGGGGAAGGTCTGATTTCACAGTCCATGACATGTTTCTCATGGCGGTGAATTTGGTAGAGCCCTACACATACTTTGTAAATGGTGTATCAGAACAAAAAGACTGCAGAAAGCAAAGAAATGAAGACTACCTGGCAGTTGTAGCAAGTTTTCTGGTTCAAATGTTTCTGGGGCTGAACATCACACTCTATGCCCAGCGATTTTACTTCAGTCCCCGAGGCACACGCATCAAGCATGTCAAACTGTACAGTTGCAAATGGATACCAGTCAGAAGGTATTTCCTGGTCTGATCCAAGTTCTAGTTTGTAAGACAGACTGTGTGGCTGATATGGGCCTTTGAAAGGAAAAATCACAGTTCATTATTTTCTCTCCATTTTTAGTACATTGTTAATTTGTTAACTGGGTATGGTAATGCTATCTTTTAGTAAACTCTAGTTGATACATAATGCAAGATTACTCTATCATCTGTCTAGCTATTTATAAAGTGCCTAATCACTTGGTATCTAGGCACAAGATTACATCCGTTATCATTTTCTGCCTATTTCAAAATATTTCTATAGCAGTCATCATAGTTCTTTCAAATCAATTTTCACAAAAGTCACCAGATACATTGAGGGCTGGATTAATGGATGGACACCATAAACCTGTGTCTAGGGCCATGGCTCCTGGATTTAAATGATTACATTAGAATCTCAGCTTTCATTTTTTAAAATAATTCAGTTTCTATCTCACATATGTGTGAAGAAAAGCTTGAAAACATGACCCAAGTGTAACCATGCTGTGCTGTCTGCCAACAGTCTGAAACAATAGCCCTCCAATGGACGAATTACCCCATGTATCTCAATGGGGTGTTAAACTCTGAGGCCTGGTCTACACTTAAAATTTATATCAACATAGCTATGGCGCTCAGGGGTGTGAAAAATCCACACCCCTGAGCGCCATAGCTATGCCAACTTACTGCTCACTGTAGACGCAGCTAGGTTGAATGCTCCCAGTCAACCTAGATACTGTTGCTGGAGGACATGGAGTTCCTACAGTGGCAGAAAAACACTTTCCATTGCTGTAGTCTGCATCTATGCTAAGAGCATACAGCAAAATAGTTATGGCGCTGTCACTATGCTTCTGTAGCGTCTAACGTGTAGACATGGCCTAAGACCCACTGCTCTGGGCAGCTTGTCAGCACTCCCATATCAGAATATAATGTGTGTGGCAGGAGAACAAGAAAGCAGTACAGAATGCCACCCGTCCAAGCACGTACACCCCAACTGCTGAGATAAATGTGTGGGGACCTGCTGCTACCCTGTCCTCTCCAGCTGAGATAAATGTGTGGGGAGCTCTAAAAATCCAAAAGGCGGTGGGAATCCCATGCCACCATTCCTGACTCTTTACAATTGCATGGGGCCCCCAGCTGCTGCATAGTGAGGAGAGGGCATGTGTTGCAGTATGCCCCAAATTGCCTTAATCTGGTCCTGGATCCTATAAATTCAGTTTTTTAAAATAACTTGGGAGAGGCAGGGGAGTTCATTTTTCCATCTGTTGGCACACAAGCACTTCAGGGTGAACAGCTAGATTTCCAAAGACACTGAAATCAGGAAGTTTGCTTTGTGAGGTCAAGGAAAATATTGGAATGAAAAGAATCTTCTACATCACAGCTTCCTCTGCAAAGTCTTCAGAGCAAAGTAAGTGGTCATGCTGTCTTTTCTTCCTCCCCAGTGCTTGTTAAAGCACGTGTAGTGTCAGTATAGAGAGGAACTGTGTACTTTAACCACAGTTTGGCTTCAGGCAGGAAAGCACTGTTACTAAAAGGACTGACCATACTTTGTGAATGGGACTGTAGGTTTAGATTTAACCCATTACAGTGAATTACATGTCAACCTGCAGCATAAAAGTGCCTATTCTTTATGAATTTACATTTCTCAGTGGCAACCACTAAACAGGGAGGATGAAACTAAATTTATGTGAAGGTAAATAAAAAGATTATATGCTTAGCATTATTTGTCATGTGGATGTCATCAACACATAGTGCACTACATTCACAACTTCATCAGCAATTCATAAGGCAAAAATGGACCTTTGAAAGAAAGTAGGCAAAGTAATTACCCACAGCATCAATGCATTGTGAGAGGGTAAACGAAAACTGATTGAGCTATCCTAATAAAATACGAGGGGAAATAAAGTGACCTTTACTTTGTAAAAGTAACCACTATCATCAGGAAACAGAGTTTCTCTCTTGCTAGTTTTGAATATCTATTACTTGTATTAATCAGTTCTTACAACCTTAGACTGTCATATGGAGTATAGATATACTTAAACGTAACATTTTTAAAGTATTTCAGAAATATTTCAGATATCTTGAAGTCTTATTCAAGACCTTGTTGTTAATCAACTCCTATCCTGAATCTTTTATTGAGACAAGATCATTATCTATATTTATGGCACTATAATTAAATCTTAGTCAGAACTTCCACTACGGGTCCATATTTTCAGAGTGTTTAGTTTGGTGTGAACACAATCCAGTATGAAATGTGGCATATAAAATAGGATTTTCAAAAGCACTCGGCACTGGCCTAACTCTGCACTCACTGAAGTCAATGGTAAAATTCCCAATGAATTGAAAAGTCCACCCATAATGTCTCTAGCAAGGAGAAAATCTTAAAATAATTTTTAGAAAATAACACATATTTGACCAATTTTGATAGCAAACTAGCAGCTGGAGCCCAGTGAATGGTAGCTCCCGGCTGGGGCACTCCCAGCCCTGCCCTCCAATAGCTATATTTCATGGGGGAGGTCTGATTTCACATTCCGTAACATGTTTTTCACAGGCATGAATTTGGTATGGCCCTACCTATCATACTGGCCAATACTGATTCCTTGTTCTCTCAGGTCAGTCTTTATTCATCTGTTGTCTCTTGTTTTATACTTTGATTGTAAGTTTCTTGGGGCAGGGTCATTTTTTGCTCTGTTTGTACAGCACCTACCACAGCGGGGTCCTGGTCCATGACTAGGGCACTTATGTGGTACAGTAATACAAATAATTAACAATAATTTCTATCCTTCCCTCTTATGTCTCTTTCCATCTCCAGTACTTTCTCACAGCCTGACCTGGGCTGCTTCCTCATCACCCATAGCATTTGCTGATGTTGCAACTCCTTCCCTTTCCCCTTGCCAACTGCTCAACACTCTCTAGCCAGTTCCATCCCTCAGTTTCCTCGGGGTCTCTCACTGAAAGCAGGGAGGCTGCCTGAAGGCTGGAAAGGCAGAGAGGGGAGTATCTGTGACGAACCCCAGTTACTCTGGCAGATAGTCAAAAGCAGGGGAACTGAAAGGGGACGCCAGGAGGGAACCATAAACCATGAGCCACAGATCAAAGCCAAAAGTTAGGCACTTCTAGTAGAAAATTGCTTCTCAACCCTGTATACCTTACTAGAATCTTCTATGTGGTAGGTACAAGAAACATTTTGGGCCAACTATAAAAATTAATGTTAATATAGTACTTTGCTGCACTTGTACTTTTCTCATCCATACACTGATAGATCGTTCTAAGCTGGTGAATAGATTAATCACACCAAGCAGTTGCTGTCTATCTGCAGAGTCTTTTCCTCAAGAGTGTTTATAAAACAAAAGAAAAACAAGTTAAATTGAAAAATTGCTCAGTAGATATTCAGTCCAGTCCTGCGACCTTTGGGCATGAAGCCCAGCCTTCTCAAAAGCACTATGTGTCATGTCTTTCTAGCCAGACACTCTTATAGCCTTTCCCTACTCAAAGGGAGTGGTGAGCTGGGCTGGAACGAACCTGATAGCATCCCTGTATCAGAGTTTGTGGGTCAGTCTTTCTACAGTGGGTATCAGTGCCCTGTAATGGATGAAATGCCAGAGCTACTCAAGTGTGTGAGATCTCACCCTTTAGTGACTGCAGTCTATAAAGGATAATGCCTCTAATTCTACCAAATGTGCAAGAGTATTTAATGCAATGTCATTAGTTAATATACTTTTTAAAACAATATACTAATCTGATTCTTATCTGCTGGTAAAACTGTGATACCACACGTTCTCACAGTGACTTTACAGCCATAGGACCAAATCCTGTGCACCTTATCCATGCAAGGAATCACATTGTCTTCAATAGGATATAGTATATTAATTACAGTAACCAGAATTTTGTCCACTTTTAACGTTTTTTCACTTCGGGGGGGAGGGGAGTGGGCATGGGAGGGCATATTTACTAGAAATCTATTTGTACATTGTTTTCCTACTGTCATCAGCACCTTTATTAAGAAATGGAACACATTTTCATTCATTCTATTCTACTCCATTTTCAATGGGTAGCACTTTGGAAGAAAAGAGCTATCCTAAACAGAAAAAGTACATTTAGAGATGATATTTCAAACAGTAGGCAGATGCATATGTAGTCCGCATACAGGTTGAGGCAATTTAAATTTAATATTTCCCTTCTTTTTTTGGTCTGTTCTATATTTCCATTGCAAGAGTCCCTGTCTCTCCCTTCTTTTACTATGTTTTTTAATTTGGGGTATACATTTAAGTTGGGCCTCTATTATGGTGTCTTTGAAAAGGGTCCATGCAGCTTGCAGGGATTTCACTCTAGTCACTGTACCTTTTAATTTCTATTTAACTAACCCCCTCATTTTTGCATAGTTCCCCTTTCTGAAATTAAATGCCACAGTGTTGGGCTGTTGAGGTGTTCTTTCCACCAGAGGAATGTTAAATGTTATTATATTATGATCATTATTTCCAAGTGGTCATGTTATAGTTACCTCTTGGACCAGATCCTGCGCTCCACTCAGGACTAAATCGAGAATTGCCTCTCCCCTTGTGGGTTCCTGTACCAGCTGCTCCAAGAAGCAGTCATTTAAAGTATCGAGAAATTTTGTCTCTGCATTTCATCCTGAGGTGACATGTACCCAGTCAATATGGGGATAATTGAAATCCCCCACTATTATCGAGTTCTTCATTTTGATAGACTCTCTAATCTCCCTTAGCATTTCATCATCACTATCACTATCCTGATCAGGTGGTTGATAATAGAGCCCTACTGTTATATTCTTATTAGAGCATGGAATTACTATCCATAGAGATTCTATGGAACATGTGGATTCATTTAAGATTTTTACTTCATTTGATTCTACATTTTCTTTCACATATAGTGCCACCCTCCCACCCCAACCCCGCATGACCTGTTCTGTCCTTCCGATATATTTTGTACCCCGGAATGATTGTGTCCCATTGATTGTACCCACTCCACCAGGTTTCTGTGATGCCTATTATATCAATATCCTCCTTTAACACGAGGCACTCTAGTTTACCCATCTTATTATTTAGACTTCTAGCATTTGTGTACAAGCACTTTAAAAACTTGTCACTATTTATTTGTCTTCCCTTTTCTGATGTGTCAGATTCTTTTTTATGTGAATGTTTCTCATCTGATCTCGCCCATACTATATCCTGTTCCATCCTCTCCTTCTGACTAGAACCTAGAGAATCTCTATCAATAGACTCTCCTCTAAAAGAAGTCTCTGTCCGATCCATGTGCTCCTCTGCAACAATTGGCTTTCCCCCATCTCTTAGTTTAAAAACTGCTCTGTAACCTTTTTAATGTTAAGTGCCAGCAGTCCAGATCCACTTTGGTTTAGGTGGAGCCCATCCTTCCTGTATAGGCTCCCCCTATCCCCAAAGTTTCCCCAGTTCCTAATAAATCTAAAACCCCTCCTCTCTACACCATCGTCTCATCCACACATTGAGACTCTGAAGCTCTGCCTGCCTACCAGACACTGCGCATAGAACTGGAAGCATTTCTGAGAATGCTACCATAGAGGTCCTGGATTTCAGTCTCTTTCCTAGCAGCCTAAATTTGGCCTCCAGGATGTCTCTCCTACCCTTCCCTATGTCATTGGTACCTACATGTATCATGACCACCGGCTCCACCCCAGCACTACACTTAAGTCTATCTAGATGCCTCGAGAGATCCACAACCTTTGCACCAGGCAGGCAAGTCATACGGTTCTCCCAGTCATCACAAACCCAGCTATCTATGTTTCTAATGATCGAATCTCCCATTACTAACACCTGCCTTTTCCTAATGACTGGAGTTCCCTCCTCTGGGAAAGGGTTAAAGTTTTGCTGGGCTTTTTCAAGATGTAATTTGAATTTCTAGGTGGTAAAATATAAGTTATCTTGCTATTTTGATCCATTTGTTAATCTACCTTCTTGCACCCATATTTCTAGAAGGCATAATTTCTGGAAATGGTATTACATACAAGAGAATGTAATAGTTGTCATTGCCTTGCACAAAATATTCCAAAATCCTCAAATACACAATGCATATCCAAGGGGCCTTCATTCTCCAGCACTTACTAAGACAGAGCAAGGTATTCTTTAGTCTTATTTATGCCTCTTGAAAATAATGCATTGTTCTATTAATCTGAAACTGTCACTAAAAGTAAGGTTTTTAAAAATGAATCTTTATTCATATTTTTCTCTTTTTAAAAAAATCTATTTTTCCTGAATGAATTTAAGTTAACTAGCTTCCCCAGTGGAAAAAATGAACAATTTCCATGTGTATGATTAAAAGTAGGGCTGTCGATTAATTGCGGTTAACTCACGTGATTAACTCAAAAAAATTGACAGGTTTCAGAGTAGCAGCCGTGTTAGTCTGTATCCGCAAAAAGAAGAACAGGAGTACTTGTGGCACAAGTACTCCTGTTCTTCTTTCAAAAAAATTGTTATTTTAAAAATTAATCGTGATTAATCGTAGTTTTAATTGCACTGTTAAACGATACAATACCAATTGAAATTTATTAAATATTTTGGATGTGTTTCTACATTTTCAAATATATTGATTTCAATTACAATACAGAATACGAAGTGTATACTGCTCACTTTATATTATTTTTATTACAAATATTTGCACTGTAAAAATGATAAAAGAAACAGTATATTTCAATTCCCCTCATAAAAGTACCATAGTATAATCTGTTTATTGTGAAATGCAACTTACAAATGTAGATTTTTTTTGTTTCATACCTGCACTCAAAAACAAAACAATGCAAAACTTTAGAGCCTACAAGTCCACTCAATCCTACTTCTTGTTCAGACAATCACTAAAACAAACAAGTTTGTTTACATTTACAGGAAATAATGCTGCCAGTTTCTTATTTACAATGTCTCCTGAAAGTGAGAACAGCCATTCACATGGCCAGCATTGCAAGGTATTTACATGCCAGATATGCTAAACATTCATATGCCCCTTCATGCTTCAGCCACCATTCCAGAGGACAGGCTTCCATGCTGACGACGCTCGTTAAAGAAGTAATATGTTAATTAAATTTGTGACTGAACTCCTTGGGGGAGAATTGTATGTCTCCTGCTCTGTGATTTACCCTTATTCTGCCATATATTTCCATGTTATAGCAGTCTCGGATGATGACCCAGCATGTTGTTCGTTTTAAGAACACTTTCACTGCAGATTTCACAAGACACGAAGAAGGTACCAATGTGAGATTTCTAAAGATAGCTACAGCACGCAACCCAAGATTTAAGAATCTGAAGTGCCTTCCAAAATCTGAGAGGGACGGGGTGTGAAGCATTCTTTCAGAAGCCTTAAAAGCGCAACACTCCGATGCGGAAACTATAGAACCCGAATCACCAAAAAAGAAAATCAACCTTCTGCTGGTGACATCTGACTCAGATGATGAAAATGAACATGCATTGGTCTGCACTGCTTTGGACTGTTATCGAGCAGAACCCATCATCAACATGGACGCATGTCCTCTGGAATGGTGGTTGAAGCATGAAGGGACATACGAATCTTTAGCGCATCTGACATGTAAATATCTTGCAACGCTGGCTACCACAGTACCATGCGAATGCCTGTTCTCACTGTCTGGTGACATTGTGAACAAGAAGCGGGCAGCATTATCTCCTGCAAATGTAAATAAATCTGTTTGAGCAACTGGCTGAACAAGAAATAGGAATGAGTGGACCTGTAGGCTTTAAAGTTTTACATTGTTTTATTTTGGAATCCAGTTATTTTTTATACATAACTCTACATTTGTAAGTTCAGCTTTCATGATAGAGTTTGCACTACAGTACTTGTATTAAGTAAATTGAAAAACACTATTTCTTGTATTTTTACAGTGCAAATATTTGTAATAAAAAATAAATATAAAGCAAGCATGGTACACTTTGTATTCTGTGTTGTAATTGAAATCAATATATTAGAAAATGTGGAAAACATCCAAGATATTAATATTATTAACAGCACAATTAATCAATCTTAATTTTTTTAATCGCATGATTAATCGCAAATAATTTTTTTAATTGCTTGACAGCCCTAAATAAAAGCTTAGTTGTTCCCCTTTTTTTTTTTTTTTTTTTTTTTTTTTTTTTTTGT